TCATCATTTTGCTTAATTGCTTAAAATAATGCTTGATACCATTGATCAAAGGGATAGCAAGTTTAAGAAAAGTGAGCACATTTTCACCAAGTATTGGATCAATGTTTAATGATATGATGATCTTGTGATCTGAGAAAAGATGCTGTAAACTGACCGTAACAAGGCCTACTTGACAGAAACTCAAACAGGTCCTCGTTGATGGGCTTGAGCAGACTACAGAAGTGTCATATCACATTTACAAACTGCATTTCTCTTTTACAGTAAAATCAAATCCTAATATTTTTTCTAGTAACCTGTAGATTTGTATAGGATGCTTTTTATTGTTTGGACACACTATGATTCCAGCAATGTAAGGTTTTTATAGAAACAAAATAAAAAAAGGTTACACTGCATAACTTGTTTAGTTTGTATATTACTCTAACTATTATGTTATAGTATATCTAACACAACATACTAAATATAAAACGATTTCATCAAACATTGTCCTCTTCTTGGTGTGTGCATGCTGTTAAATGGCTCAGGGAGAAATTTGTTTCCTATTTGCTGGCAGAGGTTTGACAATGTAGTTGAACCTGCTCACTGTCGGTGGAGAACATAACTCCCTTATGGCAGGCACACAACATCCAGTTATAGATGCTTGGAAGTCCCCATGCTTATGGGAAATTCAAGTATTCTTCCTCCTCTGTGCAACCAAAACACACAAAGCACTGCCTTTCCTACTTGTAAATAAATGTCTTTAAATCACAAATATTGCACACATACGTAGGTCATTTTCTGCAGTGATACAAAACAAGCCTATGTTTATTATTTGAAAGCATAAGTGAGATAAATCATCTGGACATTATGTACTTTCCACCACAATCTCATAGTCTCATAGTGTGTATGTGACAAAGAGATGACTGAAACTAAAGAAAGTACCACATTGTGCCAAGCTGGATGAGGCCTATTTCCCCATCAAGAACTGTTTTGAGAAGTCTGCCTTCTAAAAGGCCAAAATGCAGCAAAAAGTTCTGCCACTATTATTGTTCTGCCGGTTGAATATAAACTGTCTTCACATCATAGCATTTTTGTTCCGCTGATTTTAGCCCCCCCACCCATGTCTCCTGATCTTTTTCCCTTTAATTTTCAGTGCATCTAAGCCAAACATTGGCGTATGAAAAGGGATTTTCAAAAAAACTGAACTAAGAATACAGTTCTAAAAACCAACACCAAACAATATGGCTATTTTGTTACAATGTCGGAGGCAGAGTGACTCTGTGTTTTTTCCACAGAATTTCAAAGTAAATTTAGTTTAGTTATTTTACTCTAACTTCTTAATTTACCCTCTAACTCTAACCCTTTAAAAAAAAAAAGTGTAATGCTACTTTAGTTTTGCACTCGGGTTCTATAGAGTCTTAGGCTGTGGGTCTTAGGCTGATCATTGTGTAGGTTTACTTTGCATTGTCATTGTGACACCTTATGCATGTTTGAAATAGCAAGGATGCTTTCATTACTCACACTGCATATAGTGCATATAGTGAGTAGTGTGCATATACACCTCCCCCCCCACCCAACATTGTCTCTTGAGCCCAGTGAATCCTTTTTGCATGGAAATGATGCGCAGAAGAACAAGTCCTGCAAGTTATGTCAGACACTTGAAAAAACAAGACTTTATCAACTCACTCACAGAAACTTCACTCACTCACTCAAGACTGTCAGGTGTCTGGTACCTTCAGCCATTTTTTGAAAAATTGTTGTGAATATACTGCAGTTGGACTTGGGACTCCACAAGGGTAAGAAAACACATTTTTATATTGACATTGCTATATACAACTTAATATTTAAAAGATCCACTTTAAAATATGTCTACTTTACGTGTGCTAACTGACTTTAAAAAAGGCTGTCAATAAGACACAGATTTTGCTTTTTTATTTTCCAATGTTTATATAAATATATGCATAAATAGAATTATACATACTATTAATGTTTATATAAATATATGCATAAATAATTGAACTGGTGGTTTTCTGTACCACATTTTATAACTTCAAATTAAATAATGTGATAAACAATAGCTCCGTAATTTCAAATTGTATTCAATTTTCTCATTGCTTTTCCTGTGATATGTGCTGCTTTTAAAGTTGCACATTTCAAGTCTTTTCTTAGACACACCTTTGATTTACAATGTGCCATTATAGCACATCTTGTCAAGTGACATTAGAAAAACAAACAAAGCATTAATAAAAATAATGCATATTATTGTGAAGACTACAGCAGTTAAACAACTGATGATTACAATTATTGGCAAGTCAGAGTGTGTCAGCTGTATATAATGAATAAACTGAGTAAAGGTTCTTGTCTATCTAGGAGTTTTAATGAATTTAACACTTGTAAAGGTAATTGCTTTGACAATTCTATACAGATATTTATTACATGAAAATATAAAGATGGCTTCTAATTGAGGTACAGAGGCACAGAAATGTATTGTGTTACAAGTTACTTCAAACATATAGTACAAATTAAATTTATCACAGGCATCTCAAACTGAAAGGTTGATACATGCACAGACTTAGACAGATACTGCATCAGGAGGTTTAGGCAGTGTGAACTACGGGGGAGACAGGAGTGGTTTGGCTCCTCTTGATAAGACATGAGTTACCATGATACCATGATTTTTAAAATTTAGGCAGTCTAAAATATTGACAACATGATATCTTTGCCATGCATTTCTATTTTTCTATCATCATAGATAATGTGTAAAATTAGGCTATTACTGATTCATTCAGAAAGCCATGGTGTAGTTCACAAACTGAGTTTAGGGAGTCTAAAAGGATTTTTCGAATTGATTTTTCTGTCTGATATCAATTACCAAATGTTGAAGAAGTATCAGAGTCCTGATCACGAGTCAAGACAAAATAATTATCTTTTGGTAATTGTAAAAAAGGTTTGTCTAGGTCAGTATTTGTATCGTCATTCTCTACAGAGCAGATCATCAATGTGTGTGGTATCACAAATCAGGTGTTTGAAAGACAGACTCTTCTTTATGATTTAGGCCTATAAACTATAGTACTGAATATCTGTTCATACAGGCTTTGCTGCTGACAACGTTGGTATATGCCTTTTAAGAGTTGTCTGTGAAAGCAACACTAACATCTATTTTTCAATAGCAGTGAATGAATTATCATCAGAAAACCGTTTGAATTTAATTTATTCTATTATGTAGTACTTAAATTTGGAGTGGTCTGGTAGGCAGAGAATACAATCTGGAATCTTGACTGGTCCTGGAAGTGTGACACTACTCTGTCAGATTTGACAAAGTTACCCAAACTTGTCTCTCAAGAATGCTGGCAGGCCCTGTTCTGCATGTTTCACAAGACATTGTGTGTCTTGAGATTGTGTTAAATCGTTTTTAAGCATGTACTAAATTATGCGTTCATCAGTGACAACATAGCCTGAACATTATAAGCTTCACAAGGTAGGATTTATTGCGGGGGGGTTTTGTTAGACTACATTCATCTATGTGTACATAATAAACTGGCAACTGAGTGCATATTAGAATGACTTAAGTGTGCTGCATTTGTTCTGCATACTAAAATGTATTCAACATGTTTTTATATTGAGCTCTTATTTCACAGGAACCAGACACAAGGAGGATGGAACCCTTCATATTCATTCTCCTCTTAGGAGGTATTTCTTAGAGTGCATGCTTCTGTGTGTGTGTGTGTGTGTGTGTGATACAGAGAAAAAGAGAGAGAGAGAGAGAGAGAGTGAGAGTAAGACAAATGTCTTCTTAATGGACAGTTGAGTAAAAACTGAAATGGGGGGCTAAATTGGGAACGATGAAGGAAGACTAATTTATAATACAAAAAAGTGAACTGAATTCAGATTGATCATTGTGACATTCTCCCCTACAGGACTTGTGGGAACAACGTCAGCTAATGAGACAACAGGTGATATGATATATATGATATGATACAACTGTGTACTATACATTATTTCAAGACTACAGCAATAAATTGAAAAAAAATGATTTGGAAATATTTTTTAAAAAATCTGTAACGGTGTACGTGGATCTGAAAATTTGTGGACGAATCTGTAAATAGCTGAGAAGGCTAAGTATGTCCTCCAAGAGCTAGAAATACAGACAATTCATCAGTTACAACTCAGGCAAGACTCATAATTGGCTGCATATGAAGTGGATAATGACCTTTGATGTGACAACCATTCAATCTACCAGTAAACATGAATTCACCACCAAAATAATATAAATAATATACAATTATACAATATAACTTACATAAACTTAACAAAACTTTTTTACTATCATTCAGTTAATGCAACTTCCTCACCAGCAAACATGACGTCACCAGAGGATCATGTGATGGAGAAGAGGTGGCGTGAGAGTGGTGAGTCATGTTAGCTTGGTGGGTGAGGTTGTGTTGCCTCTGGTGACGTCATGGTTTTGCTGGTGAGGAAGTTGCATTAACTGGGTGGTGAAGTCATGGTTGACTTGTGGTGAAGGTCGTGTCAAGTGGTGGTGAAGGTGGCATTTAGTGGTTGGTGAAGTCATGTTGATTGGTGTTAGAGGTGCATAGTGGGTTGGTTGATTCAATGTGGCTGGTGGTTTGAGGTTGGTGTCAAGTTGGTTGGGTGAGGTTGCATTTACTGGTGGGTTTGAAGTATCATTGTGGACTGGTTGGTGAAGTTGCGTTTAGTGGTGGCGATTGTTTTCGTTTGGCAAGGTGATCGATGTACAATGTTGACTGGGCGGTGAATTGCATTTTGGGATGTTATGGCGATGTTCTTGTTGGGCAGGTGATGATGTCATTTGGACGCGGTGAAGTTTGCATTGAGTTGGTCGATGTTTCGGTTGGCAGGTGATGATGTCATGTTGCACTGGGCGGTGAAGTTTTTCGTATAAGTGGTTGGCAAGTCATTGTTGAAATTGGAGAGAGGTTTGTGCGTTGAGGAGTGATGAGGTCATTGTTAAGCTGGTGGTGCGGTCTGTGTTTTGCCTCTGGTGACGTCATGTTTAGGCTGGTGAGGAAATTTTGCATTAACTGGTGGGTTGAGCTTGGCATTTACTTGGTGGTTGAAAGTCATGTGTTTAGGTGGGTGAGGTTGGTGTCAAGTGTGGTGGGTGGCATTTAAGTGGTGGTGAAGGTCATGTTTTGCTGGTAGTTGAGGTTGGGTTTAGTGGGGGCGATTTTGCATTTGAGTGGTTGGAATGAGGTATGTTGACAGGTGATGATGTCAATGTTGACTGGCGGTGAAGTTTGCATTTGAGTAGGTGGCGATGTTTCGTTGGCACGTGATGATGTTCAGTGAACTGGCGGTGAAGTGCATGAGTGGTGGGATTGGTTTCATTGGGCAGGGTGATGATGTCATGTTGACTGGCGGGAAGTTTGCATTGAGTGGTTGGGCGAATGTTTCATTGGCAAGGTGATGATGTTCATGTTGACTGGCTGGTGAAGTTGCATTGAGTGGGGTGGCGATGTTTCGTTGGCAGTGATGATTGGTTCAATGTTTGCTTGGCCGGTTGACAAGTTTTCGTTAAGTGTGGGCAAGTCATGTTGATTGGAGGAAAGAGTTGGCGTTGAGAGGTGGATGAGGTCATGTTAGCTTGTATAGTAGTGGA